GTGTGGGCCCAGTTCCAGACAGACTGTATAGAATTGAATGATTAAGGGAGATCGGCAGGGAAGGGAGATCGGCAGTGTTGTGTCGAGCTGAGAGCACTGAGTAGATGTACCCTCTTGTAACGTCATCTTTGTAGAAGATCAGACTGGAACAACTAGAGCACTTATTTTGATGTATATGTAGTAAGAATTTTATACGGTTTTAATTTGTTTTATGCCTGATTGTGAGCCACCCTGAGCCTGCGCCGCGGGGAGGGTGGGCTATAAATTGAATTTATAAATATATTAACTTTCTCTGTTTTGGGCATGGTACGCTTAAATCACAGCTACGGAATTTCGTTGTTTCTTAACCACTTTTTTTTTTTTTTTTAGTCCTGAGCCGCTTAGAAGGGCGGGATATAAATCTCAAAATAAAAAAAATAAATAAATAAATATCCATTGGAACTATCTCTCTGGAAGGTGTGCCTGGTATTGTGTCGGGTTCAGGGGCGTCCAGCCTCCATGTGGGGCCTGGCAATATCTCCTGGAATTACAGCTCATCTCCAGACTACAGAGATCGCTTCCCCTGGAGGAAATGGCTACTTTGGAGGGAGGACTCTGTGGCATGCTGCCCCACTGGGGTCTCTCCCCTCCCTCCCCCCAACCCCACCCTGTCCAGGCTCCACCCCCAAATCTCCAGGAATTTCCCAACCCAGAGTTGGCAGCCCTGCCCTCAAAAGCTCCCTTGTCTGTCATATCCCTGTCCACCCCATTTGGGGCTTGCAGAACCTCAAAACTGGAGAAGAGGAGTTTGCAGTGCCTCCTCTCTGCTGGGTCTCTCCTGCACAGCTACCTCTTCACTGGCCTGCTCATAAGCCCATGAGGTCAGCTGCATATGCCCAGTTAGCTTCCTCAAAGTCTCACAAGAGCTGCCAGTCTCCTTAGAGTTCAGAGGAATCAGGCCGCATCTTATTTCCCCCTCCCATTCCCCTGGCCAGGTAAAACCGCTGACAGCTATAGTCGGTGGCTGCACTGGGGCCTTAAAGTGTCCAGCAACTTTCTCTGTTGCCCTCACAGTAGATATTTCTGAGTGACCATCCCTTGGCTCCAGGGTAAGTCTGGGGGCAGCTCCGCGATGGGTGTGGGCCCAGTTCCAGACAGACTGTATCGAATTGAATGATTAACTTTCTCTGTTTTGGGCACGGTACACTTAAGTCACAGCTATGGAATTTTTTTTTTTCTTAACCACTTTTTTTTTTTTTTTAGAGTCTACAACTATGAGCCGCTCACTCAGCTAAAGAATATCCGGGCCAATTGCTACGGGAAATACATTGCGGTGCGTGGCACTGTTGTGCGTGTCAGTAACATCAAGCCTTTCTGCACCAAGATGGCATTTATATGCAGCACCTGTGGAAATATTCAGAGTGTCTCTCTGCCCGATGGAAAATATACACCCCCTACAAAGGTAAACGAGCCTCTTTAAAGAACTTGGTTAGCTACCTTTTTCATTAGGTAAGATTATAGGTATTAAAGTAATGAGAGGAGACGAAATGACTTCAGCAAAATGAAGCTAAATTGTAAAGTGCGATTTATGGAGAAAGAATTCAGTACAAATTTAACTGCCCCCCTCTCTCAAATGAAGCTATTTCAGGCATTGCCATGTAAACTTCCATTGGCACTAATCTGAATATCATCTGTTTTTAGTGTCCTTTGCCTGAATGCCATGGACGATCATTCACTGCAGAGAGAAGTTCTCCTTATACCATTACCGTGGACTGGCAGTCTATTAAGTAAGCACGCAAAATCTGGGTTTTTTTTTTAAAAAAACAGTGTCTGTTACAATAATTGAAACTTTTATCTTGACCGAAACCCCACCTTAAATTGTTTCAGCTTAACATGTATAATCTGCACCAGAGCTACAGCAAGTGCTTCTACTGACCGAATAGTCCTGAGCTTATTTTGTATTGTATCCAGTGATCTGGCAATGGAACGCATTTGATTAGTGTTTTGGGGACCAAACCAGGTTCCTGTAGCCTTCCAAACATGTTGGAGGTCTAGCTTTCAATTGCAGCACCCTAAAGAGTTTGGGCAGTCTGTGTCTGGGAGATTCCACCCATCCTGTGCTCCATTTAACATGTTTATTGCCTCCTGGTTTAGGCTGGAAATATGTTGTTGTTGTTAGCCATTCAGTCGTGTCCGACTCTTGGTGATTCTAGGGGCCAGCTCTTTCCAAGTTTTCCGATCTTGTACTGTTTCTTAGGCCCAGCTCTTTCCACGTTTTCCGATCGTGTACTGTTTCTTTGAGTCATTCCATGCTCAGGCTGTTGTTGACTTTTATGGTGTCCAGCCAACATGTTCTTTGGTGGCCAGGTTTCCTTTTGCTGCTAACCAATCCAAGCATAATTGCTTTTTCTAGTGAGTTCTTCCACATGACATGGCAGTCACAGTTTTATGATCCCCCCCCCCAGTGACACGTCTGGTTTTATGCGCTCCAGTACTTGCTAGCAATGCTCCCTCTAAGCTGTGGAGTCTTGTGAGCAAAAAATCTACTTTGTGAGCTACTGGCCTTAAAGTTGTGAGTGAGCGATTTGGCTGCTGCAGAAATTAGTTTGCTCTGGAGCCATCCTTCCTGAGCGAAGACAAAAATGTGTGAGCTGGAGGCTAAAAAACTGTGAGCTAGCTCACACTAACTCAGCTTAGAGGGAACACTGCTCGCTTGTTTGTCGCCTTTGCTGTCCAAGGAATACACAGGAGCCTTCTCCAGCTCCACAACTCAAATGAGTCGTTTTTCCTCATGTCTTGCTTCTTTCGCAGCCATAGGTTGCTATGTGGAACACAATAGCACAGACTAATCTGCATTTGGTTGCTAGGCGGATGTCCTTGCTCTTCCATATTCAATTCTTGCTCATCATTGCTGTGCTACCCAGTGTGATTCGATGTTTTATTTCTGGACTGTGTTCGCCATTTTGGTTGATCTGTGATCCTAAGAAAGTGAATTCTTCCACACATTCGATCTCTTCATTGTTATTTTGATGTTTCTCTTCTTCTGGGTGGTCATGAACTTGGTCTTTTTGATGTTTAGGAAGAAGCCAGACTTCCGACTTTCCTCTTTGATTTTCTCAATCAGGTATTCCAGGCCTTCTTCAGTTTCTGAGAGGAGGGGTGTGTTATCAGCATATTGAAGACTGTCGATATTGATATTCCTTCCTCCAACCTTTTGACTCTTCCAGCTCTATTTTTGACTCTTCCAGCTCTAACTTCCTCATGATTGTTTCGGCATACGTGTTGAATAGGAAAGGTGAAAGGTGAAAGAATGCAACCTTGTTGTACCCTTTTCTCTATATTGAACCAATCAGTATCTCCATATGGTGTTTGCACAGGGGCTTCCTGGTTTGTGTGCAATGATTGTAAACTTGACCAGATGTGCTGGCACTCCCAGGTCTTGTAGGGCTCTCCACAGTTTGTCATGATTGACATAGTCAAAGGTTTTGTTGTAATGGATGAAGCATATATAGATAATCTTTTGACACTTGTGAGATTTCTCCATGATCCAATGCAGATTTGCTATATGGTTGTGAGTGCCACGTCCCTTCGGAAGCTGGCTTGTTCTAGCCCCGTGTTGGTGTGAGCTACCAGCCTTGTCCCTAGCTCGCCATCCACCCAGCGGTTCGAAAGCTTCGGCGAGTAGATAAAATGGGTATCACTTCTTAGAGAGGGTGGGCACACCAAAACCGTTAGCCGGCGACCGGAATGCTCAGCTCGCAAGATTGAAAGCCTAAGAAAAAATCTCTTCGACTCCGAGAAGCCTGTAATGGGCTGTTCCGGCCAGGCGGTGGCAGTGCAGCGCTGCAAGACCTGGAGAAGCTGACGTCATCTAGCCAAGTCGAAGTGAATATGCCGACGGAACACGTCTGACCCGCAGCTGAACAAACCCTCGCCGACTGTGAATGTGTGTGATTTAAAAGATATATGTTGTCCTCCCTTACCCCCATAAATCATTGTTAGTCCCGCGTGAATGAGTAACTGTAAATCGCTCAGAGCCAGCAAGCTCTGCAGGATTGAGCGATTAATAAATTGAAAGATTATTATTAATTATTATTATTGGACACCTGGTAATTCCCTTTCAATGGTTGATGCCAGGTGTTGTTGTATAATTTAAAGCAGAATTTTGCTAATATGAGGGATGAGAGTGAATTCTGTGATAATTGGAGCAGTCTTTGGAGTCTCCCTTTTTTTGGCAGTGGAATGAACACTGAGCATTTCCAGTCCCTTGGCCATGTGTTGGTTTCCCAAATTTTCTGACACGGGGCTCTGAAGATTGCAGGTGGCACATGCCTCAGCAATTCTGCAAAGTTGATGTGAACTCCTGGAGCCTTGTTGGTTGGTAGTCGGCTCATTGCCCACATGATCTCTTCCTCAAGGATGGCTGCTTCTTTCTCGACTTCCCTCTCCTTGGTATCTTGAGGTTGGGCTTCTTTGCTACTAGCGTACAGCTCTTCTGTGTATTCCCCCACCTGTTCTTGACATCTTGTTGGTTGGACAGTTCTTTCCCTTGCTTGCTTTTGATTATGCCTTTACGGGCAGCAAATGGTGTTCGAATCTTTTTGACTTGCATAAATGCAAGCGTGGTGTGGCCCTTTACGCAGTCCTCTTCTAGCTGTTTGCAACGCTTGTCCCACAGAACTTAATTGTTTTTCCGGAAATATAAATATTAACTATCTTTATGTAACAACAGTGGAGTAGAGTGGCTAGTGTCAGGCTAGAATCTGGGCAACCCAGCTTCGAGTCCTAGTTTGTTGGAAGCTTGCTGGGGGTGACCTTGGGCCACTCCTTATCTAACCTTGGGCACAGGAAGGTGGCTGTCATGGAGGGAGAATGATGTTGTAAGCTGCTCTGGATCTCTGTTATGGAGAAAGCCAGGGTATAAATACCATAAACAGTGTGTGTTGCGCCGTGTATTTTAGGATTCAGGAGCTCATGTCAGATGATCACCGAGAAGCCGGTAGAATTCCTCGCACCATCGAATGTGAGCTGATTCAGGATCTTGTCGACAGCTGTGTTCCAGGAGATGTGATTACTGTCTCAGGAACTGTCAAGGTCTCCAACACTGAGGAAGGTATGCAAAATCTGGCTGTAGCTTTTATTTATTTATTTATTTATTGGGTTTCTATCCCGCCCTCCCCGTGAACGGGGTCAGGGCGGCTTACGTTTAAAGGCACTATGTGCCAGAGTACATAAAACCAGATAAAACAACCATATCATTACAATTAAAGTGCTCAACATAGAAACAGTGGAATGAAGCCAATTGAGTCAATAATTCCGCCTTTTAAGAAGCTAAATACTTACCGGCTCTTTCCACACAGAGGACCTCAAGGTGGTTCACAATATATGACTGAGAACAGTGTGCCTGCCCATACACATAACAATTAAAAGTGTAAAGTGCTTCAGCTTCCCAGCAAAAAGACAATGGGTATATTTTATTTCATTTATATCTCACTTCCCCCACCCCCCCTTGGGTCCCCAAAAGAGGTCACATTGTTATCCTCTCTTCCATTTTATTCTCTCAACAACCCTGTGAGGTAGGTTAGGCCGAATGTGTGTGACTGGCCCAAGGTCACCCAGCAAGACTCCATGGCAGAGTGTGGATTTGAGCCTGGGGTTTCACTGATCCTAGTCCAGCACTCAAACTATGACACCACACTGGCTGTGTCCCACTGTTTTCCCCACACTGGGTTGGCTTCCACCCAAAGCTTTTGCCGCTGGGAGAAGAAGTTTCTGCAGATTTCCCCCTTCCTGCTACTGCAGAGCTCTGACTCCCGGCTCATGCTATTCCTGGAGGTTCCCGAGCAGCATTTCAGGAGACATCTGGGGCTGTACCAGGAGTGGGAAGTAAGAAAACTGCTATCCATTGAGAGCAGTTGGGGGGGGGGATCCAAACCATTGTGTGTACTGAAATTCACGCCAGCCACTAGAGCACAACACTGCTGAAGGCTCTTTGTAATAGCCCTGCCTTACGTGCACTTCTGATAGCAACTAAGGAGGTGGTAGATCTTACTGCTCACTAGTAGCCTGTTCCAGAGCAAACATCCTGGAAGGGGCCAGTCTCAGAACGAGCGTCCTCACAGGAAGTCACAGAAACCAGGCCCATAGCTGGGAAAATTTTAGGGGGGGGGGGCCTCCAAAAGCTCCACACATGTGCAGTGACATCGCAAAAAGTGCACTGACGTCTCAACAAATAGAAAATAAAAAATGCTCACGCTGCTGCCACCGCCAGCACCCAGATGCACCCCCCCTCCCCGTGTCCCTCCCTCCCTGAGGCCGAGCCGAGGCATGGATAGAGGGCACCCGGCTTACCTCGCTCTGTATTCAAAGCAGCCATGTGACGCTGAAACCCGGCACCACCAGCCCCCAAACAGGGACTCGACAGTCAGGGAGAAATTAAGTTGCTTTTAAATGTACAAGGAAGACAGATTTAGCGGCCTCCCGCTTCTACAGAAAGATGCGATTCCAGCCCTCGCTGGGCACGGAGCCCTTGGAAGCGGGCTAACAGGAAAGAGCGGGAGGGAGAGGCAAAGCACAAGCGGCTTGGAGGGGAACAGGGGCTGGGGCTGGACCGACACTGACAGGCAGGCAGTCGATCGGGGCTGAGGGGGCCAGGGAGAGGGAGGGGGAGCTGAGGATCATGGGAGGGGCCTGTAAAAACCGTGTGCCAGCAGGAGAAGTGGCATTTATGCACGGGCTCGTACAGGTGATGTGCAAACACTAGCAAGGCTTCCAGGGCACTGTCAAATCGACGCTGCTTGAGCAGTGGGCTCTCCACTCTGCCACGAACCTACCTGGCAGCTGTGACTGGAATGCTGGCAACCTCTGCAAGATGTTGTGCCAGTAGCAAAGTGAAAGGAAGAGAGGAGGGGTTTTGACAGGTTGGTAGTAGGGAGGGGGGGAGGCTGGTTGTGCCTGTACGGGGGTCACTGAGAAGTGGAGGCCAAGTGGCACCTGGCTAGAATTCTTGTTGAAGTTATCTGGTGGTCTTGTCACTGGATGGCAGGCACACTTCTGGTTAGGTTGTAAAATGGAAAAGGAGTATTGAAGTATTGCATTGCATGAAGCATCCCGAAGCTGGGGCATGGATAGTATTAAACTTTAGCATATGAAATCCTATTATAAAGTACCATGAAATTAAGAGAGGTATTTCTCCCTACCTGTACTCTACAAAGCCCACTTGGAGACTGTTTTATGCAGACACATAAAACTCTGGCACATGCTTTTCCCAGCTCTTGTCGCAGTCAGATGTAGGCCTTGTGTTACTTTAGAATTCAGCTCCATTCCTCTTATACCTTATAGGCTCGTTGTAGTTCCTCTCTGCCTGCACTTGCCTCAGCGTCTTCAGAGAGCAAACCAAGAACTGGTAGCATATTCCTTGGTGATCATAGTATTCACCGCTTTGCTTCAAGACAGACCAAAAACAGAACCCCTTTTGGATGTCTAGATAACTTGCTCAGTGGGGAAGGGACCGAAAATCCACCTGGCTTTGTTCCTGCTGCCCTTTAATGCTAGATTAGCCATCTGTAGGTATTTCTTTGCATAGAAAAAGAGGTGCAGAAGCTAATTAGCATAACGTATTTGCATATGCCACACCCCCTGACATCCCCGGACGTGTGTCAGAAGGCAACACCCACCACTCAGGCTTCACTGGACTGTTTTGGATTGCTAGCTATTGGGGGGGGGACGTGCAGATCTGTTCTCACAGAGGAGGGAGAGCTTGTACCTGAAGGCAGGCTGGGGGGGGGGGGTTCTGCAACTTACCTGGCTGCTTCTTGTTCCTCATGGCCCGACTGAGGGCTGCTGGGAGCAGAGGGGGGGGCTGGTTGCATGTGCCCGCCCCCTGAGCTCCTTACTGCTAGAGCTCCACTCCTGTGCGCTCCTGCAGGAAATGACCCCTGCTTTGCATGCAAATGCCAACTGAGTGACCCTGAGTGTGCCTAGCTAGTACACGGTTCTCTCCCATTGTGTGCTGTGACTCCTGAGATACTTAACCATATGCTCAACATACCGTATTTAGTCATCCTGCCAACGGATCCAACTTGGAAAGAACTGTTTGCTGCGGCACTGTTCTCTGCTCGATTACTTCTGCCTCTCACTTGCCACGAGTACTGAAGGTACCCATTTGTTTTCTTGGCTGAAAAGAAAGGCATAATTGGTTGGATCCCACCAGCATGAGAGAATCAGTTCCTCTTCCCTTTCCCCATCCACATCCTGTGGCCCCTGAAAACCTAATGCTTGGAGTAATGGGACTATTGTGGATGAAAAGCCATGAGGTTCAGAAGGCTGCAGTGAGGAACTGGGCAAGACTAGCCCTTCCCTCTCTTCTAGCAGCAGAACACTGGCTAGATACTGTTCAGTGTTTTCTGCAAACCATTGTCTGATATCCATTATGGAAATAAGCATTTTAAAATTTGAAGTACCTGGTTTATCTTAGAATCGAACATGCTGATAATGTTTGTCCAGTTATTCCCAAAATGTTCAGGAACCATCTGCTTTGTTCTTCAAACGTTTTAAAAATTAAGGCTAGTGGTTACTGTGAGGCCTTGTAAATCATGACTTTGAATACAGGCATTAAAAATACCTCTGGTCTGACCATTTTAACAGGGGCATCTAAAAACAAAAGTGATAAATGTGTCTTCCTGTTGTACATCGAAGCAAACTCGATCAGCAATAATAAAGGACAGAAAGTCAAGGATTACGAACACGGGACTAACCATCGGCCGTGCATGGAGTTCTCGCTGAGAGATCTCTACGCTGTCCAGGAGATCCAGGCTGAAGAGAACCTGCTCAGACTCATTGTGAAGTACGTAATGGCTGTTAATTTTTTATTAGTCACCACTTGCTTTCCTACTTTAGCTTCCCGGTCTCTGTGCACGTGGTTTTTAACCGTGGAGCAGGACCCCTCGGTTAAGCATGAATTTGCAGTTAAAACTATTTGCTGAATTTTTCACGCATCCTAAAAATATGTGAATAAAATATATCAGAAGCTGCTGGTTAGAAATCGGCGGTTTTGGTGTCTGTGATAAAATGCCCGCAAGTCTGTCTCACTCATGAACATCAGACAGGTTTCATTGTCTTCTCAGTCTATAAAAGGGTAGGGGTAGGATTATATCAGTACTTACTTTGCCCTAGAAAAGGGATTTGTTTTTTCTAAAAAATCCTGTGTTTTCATTCCCCGCTTGATGTCCCTTTCTTCTTCATTCCAGAGCCTTTAACTCCCTTCTGTCCTGATAATTCTTCCCTTTCTCTCACCACTCCTCTTAGGATCAGACCCTTCCTTCTATTTCACTGCACACAGGAATGTATGAATGCTGGAATGAAAACAAAGCCAATCTATGCCACTTCTAAGATTTGTAGTTTTCTTAAAAATAAACTTCTAGCAATATTGTAAAAAAAAATATCACCCATTTCCTTTGGGGTATATTTCTACCCCTAGCCAAAGTCCATTTTTTTGAAAAACAAAGGCTGCGGTCACACACACTAAATAATCCACTTTCAATCCACTTTCAATGCACTTTTGAATTGGATTTTGCCAGTTCACACAGTAAAATCCAGTTGTAAGGTGCATTGAAAGTGGATTATTTCGTGTTCGTGACCGCAGCCAAAAACTATGTTTTGAACCTAAGGTATTAAATAACCAGCACAAACTTCCACGAATCTTAAAGGAAAGCATCGAAGAACGTCTAAAATTAGTAACTTCTATCACTTTTGTCCCTTGGTGGCTCAAGTGGTTAAGACACTGTTTTTCAGGAATCCGAAGGTCAGTAGTTCAGCAGTTAGAGACCCGAGTTGCCGCATGACGGAGTGAGCTCCCGTCTCTAGTTCCAGCTCCTGCCAACCTAGCAGCTCGAAAGCAAGAAATTGCGAGTAGATAAATAGGTACCACTTTGGTGGGAAGGTAACAGCGTTCCGTGCGCCTTGGTGTTTAGTCATGCCGGCCACATGACCACGGAAACATCTTCGGACAGCGCTGGCTCTTCGGCTTTGAAACGGAGATGAGCACCGCAACCCTAGAGTCAGATTCGACTGGCTTTCGAGCAAGGAAACCTTTACTATCACTTTTGTCCCTTGGGGTATATTTTCTACCCAAGACTGTATCTCTGATATGAGGTAAATATTTATCAGGAAGGGTCGTCAGTTTGTCATGACAGGACGTCTCTCTCCAGAGCACCTTAAAAGGCTTTCCTGGAAGAGCTGGCTCTGAGCCCTGTAGCACCTTAGAGACCAACAAGATTTTGGGGGTGTACCTCTCTTTCTGAGGCTCACCTGGGGGTGCCACTTGAGGTGGCACTCCTCCAACACCCCTGGAGCGCGGAATGCCTTCCCTGCTTCAGGGGAGAGCCTCCGCCATCGCTGAAGCCACAGACCGGAAGTCCCTTGGGGTATATTTTCTACCCCAAGACCGTATCTCTGATGAGAGGTTAATATTTATCAGGAAGGGTCGTCAGTTTGGTTTGTCATGACAGGACGTCTCTCTCCAGAGCACCTTAAAGGCTTTCCTGGAAGAGCTGGCTCTGAGCCCTGTAGCACCTTAGAGACCAACAAGATTTTGGGGGTGTACGTTTTGAGAGTCAAAGCTCCCTCTGTCTGATCTGGGAACTTTGACTCTCGAAAGCTCCTACCCCCCAAAATTTTCTGGCCTCTAAGGTGCTTAAAGGTAAAGGTTTCCCTTGCTCGAAAGCCAGTCGAATCTGACTCTAGGGTTGCGGTGCTCATCTCCGTTTCCAAGCCGAAGAGCCAGCACTGTCCGAAGTTTGAAACGGAGATGAGCACCGCAACCCTAGAGTCAGATTCGACTGGCTTTCGAGCAAGGAAACCTTTACTATCACTTTTGTCCCTTGGGGTATATTTTCTACCCAAGACTGTATCTCTGATATGAGGTAAATATTTATCAGGAAGGGTCGTCAGTTTGTCATGACAGGACGTCTCTCTCCAGAGCACCTTAAAGGCTTTCCTGGAAGAGCTGGCTCTGAGCCCTGTAGCACCTTAGAGACCAACAAGATTTTGGGGGTGCTACTGAACTCAAATATGGCTGTTCTGCTGTGGACCAACACAGCTACCCTCTGAAACTATTTCTTAGAACAGTGTTTTATTTAAAAACTCACGGGGTGTTTTCCTACTCCAGTAGGTAGACCGTGGTGAAGAAAAAGCTACCCAATGGCAAAATGTGTCGATTTCTGGGATTGTTTTTCTACCTTGGGTGCTTTTTTGTTTACAGTAAGAAAGCTGTAAGTGATAAGTGGCTGTACTTTGAGCACCTTGTCTACTGCTATACGGAGGACGATGTCCTAAGAGGAGAAGTTTCTAGGGCCACTCTTCTGTGGATTCTGCTGTTTTAGCAAAAGACGACTGGGGTAGATTTCAAGGAACAAAGAAGAATGCCCCGGGTGGGGGGGTGTTTGCAGTTAAAGCAATGCCGTGGCTTTGTATCTAAAGTAGCAGATGTAGTAACACCAGGGGACTACAGTGGGGTGACAACAGCCGGCAGAATGTTCCCTACGGCAATAAGCCTCTTAGGAAACCTTCTGAGAGAGGAGAGGGTGCCATTCGTGACTTTATTTGCTCTTCCTGTGGAGAAGGCAATTTTGGCCATAGCAATACTGATAACTGCTTATAAGGGCACATGGATCTTCTTTTCTACTGGGAAAAAATAATCATACTGAAGAATCCCGCCCCACCCCCATTCTCACCTATTTTTAGACCATAAGACCAAACTAAAATCCACCTTGTTCTCTGCTCTACCCGATACCTGGGAGGGAAGAGAGAAATACCAAATATAGAATAGGGCAGGAAGCATCCTGAGCAGGATGCTATGAACAGATGGATCAGAAAACCTTGCGGAGAGTTACTTGGAGTTCAGGTGTTCTGCTTTCAGCCAACAGCAGGCTTTCGTATAGGAAAATGTACGCAGCAACTGCTGTGTAGTGTTTCAGGCTTAATGAGACAAAGCTTAACACTCCAGTTGAAATCAGCGGATCTTAAAAACTGCTCATCTTTGGTCGTTATCCATATTTGTTCGTGTGTCTGATGGGTCTGAGATTTGTATAAGTTGGGTTCTGCCGTCTGTACAGGAGTACCCGTGAGACTAGTTCTCCCAGCTCTCCTACTGCTGCCAAGATCAGAGCAGAACTGTCCGTATTCTGCAACAGAATGTGAGACCGGGCAAGGATTTCAGCATTTTAGAAGCCTCAACTTTTTTTTTTAAAAGGCATGTTTCTCCTGTTATGCTTGTAACGATGAGTTTCAGAAGTAGTTGAGCAGTGCCATAGTGGGGTCTCAATAGGACTTGCAGGGTTGATGCTTGGATAAGAATTTGGTGCCCTCCCATCGCTTCTTGCCTCACTGCGTACCTAGCAGGGGCAGCACATGCAAATGTATCAAGTGTGTGTGGCTGCAGAGGTCAGGTTTTTTGGTGCAGGATTTGCATTAACTTGGAGCTCAGTGGTTTCGGGGGGAGGGAGGGAGGATGGGGCTCATGAGGTTATTGGCACAGATTATATACGCTCCCTGTATAGCCTATATTTACTTTAAATTAACTGTTAACATCATATTCTCCTCTTCCCTCCGTAGCTCCCTTTGCCCTACTATCTACGGTCATGAGGTAAGTGCATCCCAACTAAGACATTCTAAGCTCTCGAAAACAACCTCGAAAACATCAACCATTTTTGTTCAGTCATGATATTGTTAAATATGCTTCAAAAGTCTTTCAGGGGTAAGTAATGTTGGTAGTTGGGGATGTCATAAGAACATAAGAGACGCCAATGTTGGATCAGGCCAAAGGCCCATCTGGGGGTAAGTAATGTTGGTAGTTGGTGATGTCAGGTGCTTTGAGCGGTTTTTCCCCTCCCCTAAATTCCATAAATAAATTATTGCTTGGAGTATTGTGTCTGACTTGCTCAGCAGTTCTTTAGCACTCTTTTTTTTAAAACACATTTTATTAGGATATGGTAAACACAAGTCAATATATATCAAATACTTTTATACCCATATATCCTACCCTCCTACGGGTGCTTTGAGCGTTTTTTTCCCCTCTCCTAAATTCCATAAATAAATTATTGTCAGGTGCTTTGAGCGTTTTTTTCCCTTCCCTAAATTCCATAAATAAATTATTGCTTGGAGTATTGTGTCTGACTTGCTCAGTAGTTCTTTAGCACTCTTGTTTACTGGTTTACATGCATAACTTCCTCCATGAGGAACAGTCTTAGTTATTCAACTTTAAAAAATTTTCGTCTCTTATTTTTGTCTCATCTGGGAAATTAACATGTTCTTCGAAGATATGTGAGCAAATCTGCCCTTGTATAATCTACCAAAGCTAAACATTGACTCCTATTACCGAGGCCTAAAATGCATCACAATAAATTACCTTCCAAGATACTTTTAGTGTTTTCCACTCCTCTCCTTTGTCATTTGCTTTACTGTCCCTCTTTGACTGAACAGATAGTGAAAGCTGGTTTAGCGCTGGCCTTATTTGGAGGATGCCAAAAATACGTGGACGATAAAAACAGGATTCCTGTTCGAGGAGACCCCCATATCTTGGTTGTTGGAGATCCGGGATTGGGGAAGAGTCAGATGCTGCAGGTATGGAATTATTGGTTTATAAATACAGCCTCTGGGAAATTATCTACTCCTTAAAAGTTTTTTTTTTTTTTTTTAAATAGCACTACCATATTTCCTTGAAAATATAAAAATATCACGTGCCCTGTTCTCTGGGCTTTAGTGTAATTATGGTAGCCCAAGCCTTGCACACTCAAGAACTGCTTTCTGTTTGTTTAGGCCGTGTGCAGCGTCGCTCCTCGTGGAGTGTATGTTTGTGGCAATGCCACCACGACATCTGGCCTGACTGTCACTCTGTCTAGAGATGGTCCCTCTGGAGATTTTGCTTTGGAAGCCGGTGCCCTTGTACTGGGAGATCAAGGTACAACATAAAGCCGCTAGCTTTCTTTCACAGACGGGCTCAGCTCGGTCCCTCTGGAGATTTTGCTTTGGAAGCTGGTGCCCTTGTACTGGGAGATCAAGGTACTGTCGCGCAGTTTGTGTGAACCAGCACCTCGAACCTGTTTTGCACTCACAGCAGTCTTTCACTCACCAGAGGCTTCCAACAGTAAACCACACTTAGTCCAGTGGTAACTATATACAGGAATTTATTTACAATATATACAGCTCTCAGACAAAGTGCTTCGCCAGACTCCATCCACCATCAAGGGGGGAAAAGTACAATGGTACATTTCTACATATATACATATGTCCAGCCAATCAGAACATTGCTGACTCATACTGACTGTGCTTCAGCTCTGCCCAGTCCAAACTGGCTGTATCTGGATTATCACAGCTGTTAGCTGTCAAGTAGATCCTGTATCTAGGTGCTGAAACCTATACACCAACAGGTACTACATAAAGCTGCTAGCTTTCTTTCACAGACGGGCTCAGCTAATGTTGGTCAGTTCATTTAGCAATTGATACACCGCATAACATTTTTAAAAAATATCTGTATTCCAGCGCAAGAATGCTTCAGGGACTGCACGATGATCACTAATCTTCCCAACTTTCCCTGCCTTCCAGCAGCCATTTCCAACTCTGAGAACGTTTACTCCTGGGGTTCGGGACCTATGTAGAGTAATAGCCCTGCAGGGTCAGAAGGCTGCAGTTGGGAGGAGGATGGGGGTGAAACCAGTCCCTTCTTCCTCTTCTGTTGACAGAGCTCAGGTCATGCAAGAGGCAGGAAGGAATGGTTTTGTCCCCTTCCTCCTCCTCCTCCTCCTCTTCCTGCACTTTCCCCACCCACATGGCCATTGGTCTGTGTGGGTCCTGCAGTCCCAGGAAGGGCCACCTTGGGTTGATCCCTATTCATAGTGGGAAAGTCACGTAGTTGGCGTGTGTGAGCAGCAGCAGTGCAGGCAGTGGGGAGGACCCAGTGTGGCAAAGTGTTTGGTGTGTCCGACCAGGAAATGGGAGAGCCAGGTTTGAATTCCCACTCTGTCATGGAAGCTTGGGCCAGTCCCATGCTCTAAATCTAACCTACCTCACAGAGTTCGTTGGGGGGGGGGGGGGTTGCTTTTTTTGGGGGGGGTCATGCAAGAGGCAGGAGGGAATGGTTTTGACCCCTTCCTCCTCCTCCTCCTCCTGCACCTTCCCCCCACCCACGTGGCCATTGGTCTGTGTGGGTGGGTCCTGCAGTCCCAGGAATGGCCACCTTGGGTTGATCCCTATTCACAGTGGGAAAGTCACATAGTTGCTGTGTGTGAGCAGCAGCAGTGCAGGCAGTAGGGGAGGACCCAGTGTGGCAAAGTGTTTGGTGTGGCCGACCAGGAAATGAGAGAGCCAGGTTTGAATTCCCACTCTGTCATGGAAGCTTGGGCCAGTCCCATTCTCTAAATCTAACCTACCTCACAGAGTTGGTGGGGGGTTTTTTTTTGGGGGGGGGGGTTGCATTTTTGGGTGGGTGGGTGCCCATGCCTGGAAGTCGTCATGGTGACCACTGGTGACCCCTAGGTCATCTGGAGGATGTTCAAAGAAGTGGCTTGATAGCCTGTCTCTGCCTCCTGGTCCTGGTATTCTCTGGAGGTCTCCCATCCAAATACTTGCCAGAGTCGGCCCTGCTTAGCTTCTAAGATCTGGCAAGATCGGGCTTGCCTGGGCTATCCAGGTCAGGGCCTCACAGGGTTGTTTTGAGGATAAAATGGAGGAGAAGGGAACAATGTAAGTTGCTTTGGGTCCCCATTGGAGAGAAAGGCAGGGTATCAATCAAACAAAACAGTAAATGAGCAGAAGCGTGATTAACCCCTTTCTGGGCTTGCAAAAGGGTACTGTGCATACTATCTGCACCACCCCAGGCGCTCAGTCAGGAACCACTTAAGCACGTGCTGACCATCTCCGTCAGTGCTGTCAACTCTGATAGCACCAGTTGCACAACTGAACAGGCTGGCAGGGATGACGACTCCATCCAGCCTTCCCCGTTTCAGGCCACCTGGTTGGTCCAGGTGGGTGTGTATTGTGGAACTTGGCACTGCATCCCTGGCTTGGGGGGGGGTACAGATTTTTATTTAGTAGTAGTAATATTTATTGCATCAGCAAGAAAGCCATAGCAACTGTACAGAATTTAAAAAAAAAACCCAAACAACAACAACAACAACAAAAACCAGCACACACTTTTATTTAGACTGATATCTAATTGGGTGTCTCAAATTAGTCAGAACTGTTGGGTGTGTAAAAGAAATTCTTGGTCACTCTCCTTTTCACTGTTAGATTATGCTTCATATTTGGGAGAGAGAAAAACAGGTCCAAAGAGCTGCTTTGGATATAATGGGGGTGAATCCTATGTCTACTCTTCCTACTCCACTGAGTAAAGTTTGGAGCCTCCCTCCAACTTACATGGCTCTTCTGTAGGAAGGAGAGCTGTTCAGGATGGAGGAAGGCTTCTTGGAGGGTGGTTGGATCCAACGCATTATATCCAATCCTTTTCCTCCGATGCTTTCTGCTATCGTGGTGATCATTTAGGAAAGGACGCACCTGCCAATTATTTTCTCTCTCCCACCCCCTTGTGAAAATTATTTCCAGGGATCTGTGGAATAGATGAGTTTGATAAGATGGGCAACCAGCACCAAGCCTTGCTGGAAGCTATGGAACAGCAAAGCATCAGTCTTGCAAAGGCTGGCATCGTTTGCAGCTTGCCCGCTCGGACGTCAATCATAGCAGCAGCCAATCCCGTTGGAGGTCACTATAACAAGGCCAAGACAGTATCAGAGAATCTGAAGTAGGTGTTTCTACAGTGTGTGCTGTTGTTTTCAGCAGAAGTGAGATGGGTGGGAGGCCTGCAACCATTCATGCAAAAATTCAAACCGACATTGTAGGAATATACTTATTCTGTTGGCTTTTAGGGAGGGAATGCTCCTGTCATTTCCTCCGGAATTTGCAACGTTAATTGTCGTTGCTGCTTGCAAATGGTTTTTGTGCAACATCTTACTAAAGATTTACAAATATATGCCGTGGCTTTCTTTGAATACATGTTGTGTATATGAATTATTTTCCACATTGTGCTGTCTGTAATGCTCCACTGTTGAAGAAATATATATAAATGGATACAAATCAGGGCCCCCAATGTAAAATCAGTAAATATACAACATAAATATTACAAATTATCAAAAATACATGTATTTATTACAAATTAGTTTAAAAATAATTACAGGCCCAAAAATCGCCTCTGTCAGCATTACAAATCACACCAATATGCACAATTAGGACCTTATGCGACCCTGAAACACGCGTTTTGGCCTACTGACCTTCATCAGTGGTCAAGCATAAATGTTTCACATAGGCTCAATTATTGCAATATTAATATTAATCAATATAGCACCAAGTGAAAATTATGCTGAAAAGGAAGGGAAAAAATTAAACAACCTACTAGCCAATTTTTGTAATATTGAACATTTTAAAAAGCAAGGACTAAATTATCAATTAAATAAAAGTGTAATAGTTACTCTCCTACTTTGGTCCAGGAGATTCAATTCCAAAAGCAAATACTGAGCCAGTGTAACAATTAGTGTGTAATGCAAAATGACAGATCTCCTATCTCTTATATGTCAGGCTGTAAGATGATGTAATAAGGATGGATGATGCAATAGTTACCCCCACTATGATTGCATCAGCCATCCTGATTACATCATCTTACAGCCTAACATATAAGAGACAGGACATCTGTCACTTTGCACAACAGACTAATTGTTATACTAGCTTAATATTTTCTTTTGGAATTGAATCTCTTGGACCAAAATAGGAGGGTAACTATTACACTCTTATTTAATTGATAATTTAGTCATTTTTTAAAAATGTTCAATATTACAAAATTGGCTAGTAGGTTAATTTGTTTTATGTTTAATATTTTTTTTCAAGTACACAGCTGAAATACCATTTTGGTTATATGTACCTGATTTGAACACAAGGCGGTGCCACATGAGGCTTCTACAGTACGTGCTTGCCTTGTGTCACTGATATTTATCAGAAGTAATTCAACATTATACAATTTTTAACACATTCCCATGTTCATAATTGTACCATTAGATATTGTTTGCACATTGATACTGCAAATTTTCTTTTCCCTTCCTTTCCAGCATAATTTTCACTTGGTCCTATATTGATTAACACTAATATTACAATAATTGAGCCTGTGTGCAACATTTATGCTGGACCACTGAAGAAGGCTGGTAGGCCAAAATACATGTGTTTTAGAGTCGCATAAGGTCCCAATTGTGCATATTATATGATTTGTAATTCTTATAGAGGCTCTATTTGGGCCTATAATTGTTTTTAAACTAATTTGTGATAAATACATGCGTTTTTGATCATTTGTAATATTTATGCTGTATGTTTACTGATTTTACATTGGGCCTCCTGATTTGTATCCATTTAATCTTTCAGGTTCTTAATTCATTTTTTGGGGGGGTTAAGTCTCTGTTTTTCCCTATTGAAGAAATACATATATCCAACATCCCACACAGTTTTAGATAATGTGCTTGATGCATGTTTTTTCCCCTCCCCTACTGTAGAATGGGAAGTGCGTTATTGTCCCGGTTTGATTTGGTGTTCATCTTGCTGGATATACCAAATGAAGACCACGACCACTTACTCTCTGAACACGTCATGGCAATGCGTGCTGGGAAACAGGCCGGGCGTAGCAGTGCTACAGTGACGCGTGGAAGCTCGCAAGATTCGCATGTGTCAGTCCTTGAAGCCATTTCAGATAAGCCGTTATCAGAAAGGTTAAAGGTAGTGTCGTCTGTTTAGGTCTTTTTTTTAAAAAAAAGTAACATCCCATAGAATCATGGAACGAGCACAGATTGCCTTGATGTGTTGTGCTACAGAAGGACTTATCTGTCCTTTCATGTATGAAACTGGAAGGGGAGCTTGGGCATCATCTGTTGTATCTCCCACTAAATCCCCCTACTGAGTCAGGTCTGTGATGTCGTGAGAAGTTTAACCCTATCCTGACCTCTTGAATCTTTGCTTTCTATATGCTTTGGTTAAACATCACTTGCGATGTTTCTAGGTACCACGGATCCTTCCTTCATTTCCTCACACCTCCAGCTTGTGTACTCTCACTCATCGTTTTCTTACCTCTTTCCCCCTTTTTCTGCTCCTCTTCACACTCAGTTTCTTCAACGCAACTATCTATTAATCTTGTGGCAAGGATTGCCAGTTTTTACAAAGTTATTAATGTGCTATAAATTCCTTTCTAACTACTCCTGTTGTGTGTAGAAATATCTCCCCGCACAAAAAAAACAAACACAACACATTCTAGCTGCCTTATAAGAATGCAACAGCTGAGAGTGCGGAAAGCTGCAGAGAATTCCAGAAGCAACAACCAGTAGGCGCCCCCGCCCCCCAAGTGCAGGCCATCTAACAGGGTGCCCAAGGCAGTTTCTGTGCCACAGCTAGGTCCGAAATCAGAATGAAAGGGGACCTAGGAAATCGGTTTCACTCAGAAAGCCCTGTAGAGTTGTGCCTTGCCCAAGTAGGATAAGTTGGACATTGGGTGGAAATTAGTTAAATCCTGAGGGTTCAGAGATTGGATTTTCCCACCAGCAAAGGAAGAATAACAGCCTCCTTTAAGACTGCTGGAAAGGACCCTTCATGTAAGGAGGTACTTGCTGGGTGCTCCAGCCGTTGATGGAAAAGCCATCTCTGGCACATCTTGATGGCCATGAAGGGTAAGAGTTGAGAACGCAAGTGGTGGAGTGCAGGTCTCCGAGGGCATGCTTGGGCAAATGGATACATAGCAGAGGGCTGGTGGAAGCCTCAGGAACAACTTCATTGGCTTCTTCCATAGGGATGGGTTCTGAAAAACCTTTCACCAAGATCAGTGGTTTTCTCCTGACCATTGAAGGGTGGTGGTGGTGGTGGGTTTTTTGTATGTTTTGTTGTAGGGCACGGAGCTATGCTGTAGGGGTTATTTATCGCTAACTAGGCTTGAGCTTCCAGATCCTAATACTCTACTATTGAACCACGGAAGCTCTCAGTATGAGCCTTCTGCACATTCAGTCAACATACAGAGCAGAAGAGCATGCACAAGTGTGCTGACCTCACACCCGATTGGCAGCTTGTCAGCACACTGCCTACATGTGGAGAAAGTGCACATGTGTATGCTCTCTCCTGGTGATTGGGGGTGCTGTTTTCAAATGTTTCTGATCACGGGGAAGGAGTGTACACACATGCTTCCTCCTCATATTGGCATAATGCTGATGAGCCACCAGTCTCATGGAGGCAGAAGGCACAATCGGTGCGCTCATACATATGCTGCTCTCCCATTCATTGACTTAATGCATGGAAGGTTGTGTGGTCAAGGCTGACCTAGAATTCTTAAGACCTGAATGCTATCTGTCGTTTGTAGGTCACTCCTGGAGAAAGTTTTGACCCAATTCCACACCAACTGTTAAGGAAATACGTGGGTTACGCTCGGCAGTATGTACATCCCAGACTATCTCCAGAAGCTGCTCAGGTCCTCCAAGATTTCTACCTTGAGCTCCGGCGGCAAAGCCAAAGGGCAGACGGTACGCCTATCACCACAAGGCAGCTCGAGTCCCTGATACGTCTTACAGAGGTATGCTTTCATTTCATGTTCCTTTTTTACTAAGAGTTTTATAACTTCTGTGCCTATTTCTGTCTGAGATTCTACTATATTTTTAAGTGAGACAGCACTATATTTTTAAGTGAGAGACAGCACAGTGAAGACAGCACAGTGATTCTTGTACGTACGTTGGTCAGATATTTTGTTCAGTGCATAGTTGGGAGTGAAACTGCATCACATTTGAGTTTCCTGGTTTCTTGTGGTTGTGCAGAAAAACACTTTTCTTGCAGTTCAAGGGGCAACAACCTGTCCTTGGTCATCTTTTCTTTAAATAAAATCATTTTAATTGCACTTCCTCTGTGTGCACGTATTACTCTATATGTATATATCACTCTGTATCCCTCGAGTGAACGTTTTTGTCACCTTCATCTTTAGATTGAATACAACCTTTTGTTTCTAGTCAGAAGCCAATCATTTAGTTTTGCCGATTACTATTCTCTCTATATCCTCAAAAGTATTTTGTATCATATCCTAGTTTCAAAGTATTTGAAGCTGCCCTGTACTGGAGTGGACAGCTGGTCCGTCTAGTCCCTTGTTTGTTTTTGGTATTTTTCATATGTGCATGTGAGTGTGTGTGCACCTGGAAGTCATGGCGACCTCTGGTGACTGACCCCTGCTGGGGGCCTGGAGGACATTCAGAGAGGTGGCTGAATAAAGCCTGCCCCCACCTCCCAACTGCTGATATTCCTTGGACGACTCCCATCCAAGTAATTGCCAGTCGGCCTTGCTTAGCTTCCGAGATCTGACAAGGTTGGACTTGCCTGGGTCAGGCATCTAGCCCCTCATTGTTGGTTCTAGCAGTGCTTCTCCAAGGTCTCTGGCAGAGAGAGAGAGACCTTTCCAACTCTCTGAGATAGGCAGGGACTGAACCTGGGACTTTGTGTAAGAAAATATGAGTTCTGCCACTGAATACTTCTCCCCTGTATTCTCCAGACTCCCATCTGAGCAGTGCATAAAACTACACGTAGACCTTAAGGGGCACCCTAAAATAGAATCCCACTTTGGCAAACATGTGGCTTATTTATCATGAATGTAGTATACATGAACACATCACGCTGCCTTACGCTGAATCAGATTATTGGTCCATCAAGGTCAGTATTGCCTAATCAGACTTCCAGCGGCTCCCCAGGGTCTCAGGTGGAGGGCCTTCACATCACTTATCACCTGGAGTTGCTGTGGATGGAACCTGGGTCCTTCAGCATGCCAAGCATATGCTGTACCACTGAGCCATGCACCTTTGTGAACAGGCTGAGTTGACGGAGTCCCTTGCTCTAATAACTGCCACAAACTTTAGAAAAGCTTGCTGAAATATGCCTGTATTCAAATTGAACTGTGGTTATCCTTGCATCTGGACTTATAAAATGTAGACAGACTCTTCCTGCCTGAAGTTCTTCTGCTCTTATTATATAGGAGGTCAGTAATTATGTAAGATTTAGTATTCATTTCTCATTTAAGGCCCGATCAAGGTTGGAATTAAGGGAAAAAGCCACCAAAGAAGATGCTGACGATGTCATAGAAATAATGAAATACAGGTATGTACATAAGAACATAAGAGAAGCCAATGTTGGATCAGGCCAATGGCCCATGTAGTCCAACACTCTGTCACACACTGGCCAAAAATAC